GCATAACAAGTTATTGTGAAGACTATGGCCTGTATCAGACGCACCTTAGTCTCCAGAGAGACACCATTGCTCTTCAGTACTTTGGAGAGGTCCCTAACAGCAGACTTTTCCATGGCAATGCTCCTTTTAATTTCCTGGCTACTGGTGCTGAGAGTGTTGACTGTGGAACCAAGCAAACTAAAGCTGTGAACATTCTCAATCTCTTCACCATCCATCCTGAAAGAGGAAGAAATTCAGCATGAATTTAGCGTAGCATTGATATGAAGGGGCCCTGGTGGCACTATGTATTATGTATCGGTCTGCTAACCGAAAGGTCAAAGTGCAATCTCTTCCTGTAAAGATCTAAAACATCAATAATTCAATAGAAGATGACTTTGAATTGAAAATCACTCAACAGTAGTAGTAGCAAGCTTAGCATTGATTTATCTGATTTATAAATACCCATCCTGTAACAACCCTGTGATTTTTATTTTAGACATGAAGGGAAGGAGACCCAGAGGATATAACAACTATCCTAAATCTGTGCACCTGGTTGGTGATGGACATAAGACTGGGCTCATTTTGATCTTTCAGCGGGTTCATTATGCACTGTACATATTGACTTTCATTTGCACAACACGTTTATTGTTTTAAGTTCATTAATTAATATGTAATACTGGCTCAAGTTTCACCCTCATTGTGACAATTTAATTAGGAAATGATAAATTAGGCAACTGAGAAATGTTAGATTTTTTTATTTGCCTATGTCACAAATGTAAAAAATTATAAGCTAAGACTTGAAACCATGTCCTCTTTCTTCCAGTGTTTCTTCTATCACATCACATTAATTGTCCATAAAACTGCATAATAAACCTGCAGTATAAAACCTATTTTAATGTATTTAATTTGAGTGAAAGCTTACAACACAAATTAGTTTTGCATGCAGATATTCATACAATTGGTTTTACAACATCAATGATAATACCTATAATGTAGTTTCACCCTTCCTACTTCCTTCCTTTGATTCTCATTTCCACTAATCTTCTTTCTTATCAATTCCTGCCTTTTGGGCTTTATCTTTGAACTAGTTCTGCTTTGACCTTATATGGTGGATTATTCTAAAGAGTGAGTGTTTCCTTGGTGTTTTGGATCACCTTTTATACCTGCCTATTGGTTTGGTTGGAAGTTAAGCTTTCAATAGGAGTGAATTTTGTTCCAGGTTTAAAGGGTAGCTAAGGTCTACAGACCTCAAGGTTCACATAATTTGACATGAGTTGAACTATTTTCTAACTTTCAATAAATCTCTTTTAAAATATTAAAGGAGGCCTTTGGTAAATAAATTAGTTTTGCTTCTGAACAACCATTCTACAAAAAAGCTTGTTAAATTGGTTGATAAAATTTGCCTTGACAATTATAATTTTTCCTTTCAAAGAGATTGGACTTTAATTTCTGATCAGTAGGTGTTTAGCACAAAGATTTTGATTGTCTCTAACTTTTTAGGAAGAACATTTTAAAATGAGTTAAGAGCAAGAAGCACTGGTAATATAATGCATAATGTATTCAACTTCTAGCCAAAGTCAGTGGTTCAAATCCACCAGTAGCTCCATGGGAGACTTAGAAGTATCTTAACATAAAGATGTATTATCTGTGAAAATTAATTGAGAATAACTATGCGTTGAAACCCTCTGGACAGCAGTGGGTTTTATTTTATTCTGGAAATAAAAGTATGGAGAAAAACTCAAGGGATATTCTTTATGTAGTGACTGAAGTCTAGAAGGCTCTGAGGGTATTAGCCATTGGTGAGGGTAATGAGTTTTTGTTTGACGTAAAAGATCAGCTGCTCTGGATTTTACAACAGTATAAACTCTCAACTACTAACTGGAAGTTTGGAAACTCTAATCCAACCATAGATACCTTTGGAGCCAGTCCAGGGGGTGGGGGGTTGTCTCATTATGAAAATTCACACCCTTGCTAATCATATGGAACTGTTCTGCTTTGAACACATGAGGCTGCAAGGAGTTGCTATAGACACCAGGACAACTAGCAACAACAAATGACATAAAGTGTGAAGAGGTGGGAAAATGTATACATATGCTTAAGAGATGGCAGTTGTTGTTGTTATGTGTCTCTGAGTCAACTCTGTAAACATCAGTTCTGAACATTTCCCTATCTTCTGTCATTCTCAACAATTCTGACACCCTTAAGCTCTTTGTTGCACTATGTCAATCCATTTCATTGAAGGTCTTCCTCTCTTCTGCCAATCCTCCACCTTTCCAAGCATGATATCCCTCTCCTTTCAACATGCCTGTTTTATGTGAGAAGAAGCTTTGATATCTTTGCCTCCAAGGAACACTCTGGCTGCACCCTCTCCAAGACATATCTGTTTGTTTTTGTGGCAGTCCATGAAATATTCAGTACTCTTCTCCAACACAGCTCAAAAGCATCAATTTTTCTTCTGTCATCTTTATTCATTGTCAATGTCTTACGAGGATATAGATGCTTTAAAAGGATATAGTAAAGTTATTATTGTGTTTGTGGGGGGGAAGAAAGGGGATAAAAATAAGGTGAGCTTAAAACAAGAGCTCTGCTGTGCTATCAACCCAAAGGTATGCAGTTCAAATTCACAACCTGCTCCATGGGAGAAAGATGAGAAATCTCCTATACAACCTAACTGTCTCTGAAAACTCATTGTAGGGTCAGCCACGAGTTAATTTTAAATCAATGACACATAACAATAACTGGTAAGATGAATGGCTGGTTCTTAGAAGACTGCACCTTTGAGTTTCTTCTCTTTCCTCTACTTAAGCTCAGATAATTCTGGTTTTGTTCTCTTATTTTGACCTAACACACAAAATAGACCAGGGTGTAATAGCATTTTTCACTTAAGTATTAAACAAGAAAAAAATATGTATACTAAAAGAAGTGTATCATTTTCATATCTAAAGTTTAATTTTTAAGATAGACATTTGTGAAGAAAAATTTTTTTTTCCTTTGAGGGGAAAAATTATGAACTATGACATCAATGGATGCAAAAAACAAATTAAAACAACGAAAATAGGTTGCTATTGAGTGGTAGGACAGGATTTTATTGAGTTGAACATAGCAACCCTAAGAGTGGAAGAGACTCTCTGGAATCTAATTTTAAAAAAACAGTTCTTATTTCATTTTTATTCTCATTCTATTGGTTTGTGAATTAATTCTTCTAGGGTCTTCTGTGAGTTGAACTAATCAGTATGCAGGATGACTGTGAAGATTTAATGATATAATTTATAAAGAAGTACCTTGTATATGTCATGAAATACAAAATATACCATGGAAACACCAACAACTATTATTATTATTATTATTATTTTTCAGATTGGTACAGGACAGGGCAGGGTTTAGGGCTGTTGTACATAGGGTCATTATGGGTTGTAAGTGACTCAATGGCACATAACAACAACAACATCTACGGAATATATTTTAAAGAAATAACAGTTAAAATATATTCATAGTATTTTGGAGCAGCTTACCTAAAAAAACAACAACTACATATTATTTGCCTCAAATAGGGTATGAACCTAATTATAAGTATAAAACATACTATTATTAAATATGGTAATTTATATGTTCAACAGTTAATATGGAACTTATTTTCGTCTTTACAATATGGCCTCCATATTCCTTTTAAAGTCAAATAGTTGAAAATATCAGAATTTGAAAGCTTTCTTATAATAATATAAAATTCTTGAAGTACAGAGAAAGGATGTCAAATTAATTTAAATCACTGTTTATTACAATTAAGCACATAAAGCATACAACACACATACTTATGATAACCACAAATTGATATTAAATTACACATTGAAAATATCCTTTAGAATCCTTCAATTTGGAAGCATTTCCTAAGGGGGAGATAGAGATATAGGATACCCTTGCACAGTGGAGCAAAATGTGAGGACAAGTAGGACATTCATCTTCAGATGGTACTAAAATGGCGAGTTGCCTTAGGTAGGTAGTTACACAGGAGCAGATGGAGTTCACCAAGAACACCCGCCCTCGAACCCACCCTTGTTCCAGACAGCACTAAGAACCAAGAGAAACTATTCTTAAGTCCTTTTTTTTTTAACTTAATAGTGTTAGAAGTTCAAAGTCTATGCACACATATTTATTAAAATTCTCACATGCATATAAACATGTCTTCTCTAGCTTTTCAAAACTTAAGTGAGGGGGGTTGCAGATCCCTTCCCTGAAGTCTTCAATGTGTCTTCCACCGCAGTTTTATCTTTCTTCTGAATGCAGCCCTGGAAATGCAGTTTGAATGCAAAGACCCTCAACAAAATATCTTCCTTTTAAAAGATGTTAATTTAATATACAAGAAAGGAAAGCCTCTGGGAAAGAGGATAAAGGAGTTAGGGTTTCTAACTCCTGTGCTGATAAATGGGATATCAGAAAGCCATTTCGTTTCCTTTATATTGCTGATTAAAGCCTTCATTTTAACCTTCATTATAAATGAAATGCATTAATCTCTAAGCTGTTTTTAAACAATTAAATATTAACCTTCTTCAATCTTATCCCTGACTCTCTTGAACAGCAATGTTTAAGTTCTATTTATTCAATATAATGGATCAGTATTTCACTTTCAATAGGGCTATATAAAGCCCATCTCTCTTTATGTGAAATATAAACATCATGCTTACCTACATACATAATGCTCTGTCGTAGAGAAATCACAGCTGTAAAATAATAAAGTCTTTAACAATGGTGTTTCAAGTAACTGATAAAGACTATAGATGCATAGACTCATTTAGTAAACAAATTGCTGCAGTTTCTTGGACAAGCAAAGACGTGTAGTATCTCATTGGCTCTGACATAGTTTATAGAATCATAAACAGCCAGTGCACAGTTCCAGTAGTCAATGCCAGACCGTTAGCAATGGCACAGAGCAATGTCCTTTGGGGTTCCATATTTAGATTGTAGTAGCCATTTTAGTCATTTGCACAGCTTTCTAAAGGGACAGTCAAGAAAACAGAAGTACAAAACTACACATACTGACTTTTGGAGTACACACTGGGCGACTTCTTCTCCACATGAAAGCTTTTGGGGGTCGTGTGATGAGAAGGTATGGAGTACCTGTAGCTATTACTGCTCCTTTCGCTGCAGCATGTCTGGCAACAGAAGATGATCCCTCCAGCAAGCAGCACCAAGGCCGTGACCCAGCCGATGTAGAGGGCTTCCCCAAGCTCACGCTTCAGGGCCACGTCCAGCAGTGGGTTGTAGAAATCCCTGATGATGGAGTTGCCAACCCAGCTCACGGGGATGAGCACCACGATGGCAGAGACAATGAAGATAATTCCAGCCGTCAGCAGGATGTAGCCCTTCGCCTTGCTGTTGTCCCCTGTGCAGCGGGTGCACTTCATGCCGAGGATGGCTATCATGAAAGCCAAGAAACAAAGCACCGAGGCAGCGCACATCAACCCCCGGGAGGCCTGCAGCTCTGGAGGAAGAGCCAGCAGAGAATCATACACTTTGCACTGCATCCTGATGTTGGCGTGCCGCATACATGCCATCCACAGTCCTTCCCATCTGTTTTCAGCAACCACGATGTTGCTTCCAATGAAGGCAGACACTCTCCACTGGGGCATGATGGTGGTGGCCAGCGTCCCCACCATGCCGATACCACCGAACACCAGTCCAATAATCTGGACAGCAGAGGTGGCCATTATTCCCTGAACGAAATTCTAGCAGCCTGGACTCGAGCTGGAGAAGCTGCTCTGAAGCAAGTCTTTCTGCCAGAGAAGAAAGCAGAAATGATCTCAGAAACTCAGTGGTGTTTCAAATAAGAACTGCATTCCTACTCCCAACTAGATTCTATCTAGTGTTGGCTGGCTGAGGTGCCCCCCCTATTGACTAGAACAGGTAAACCTACAAATCAGGTGTGACCACTTTCTCCGCCAATCGGAGGGGGTAGGTTGGTAACTCAGGTGTGTCTAAACTGAAAAGAGTTACTTGGAACGCCTGGACATACTAGAAACATTCTCCATACAGCTCATTTTTCCAAGAAGACAGCAGTGTGTTTACCTGTAGCTGTAATTGGGAAAGTTTGCACAAGTCTCCAGAAACTCACAGACCTTTGGGATCAGAAAGTCGCACCTTGTGCTGAAGTCCCCGTAACTCTTAGTAAGAGCTGCTGGGATGGGTTAGAAAAGACCTGGGTCAGAAGTCTGCTTGGACTGATAACATGCCAAGGTGAAAGCAGAGTAGGGGATAGACAGATTGCTCGTTCCTGAGAAACCACATTCTTAGAGACACACGTGATCGAAGCAGTGGATTTAGCTTGTCTTCAACTTCAAAGTAAGCAGGGAACAGATCATGGCAAAGGATAAAATAAAGCTAACATAATAAAATATACAAGGTTGTCCTCCTCTTTGGCACCAGAAGCATGTTGCTTTATTTTGAACCAGGAAAACTACCTGTTGGTGTTTTTTATCTAATAATATACTTAAAACGAAATCATCTGTGAAGGGAGAAAAAATGAGTCTTATGTTAAAAGAATTATATTGAAATGATGAAATGACTTATTTTGTGACTACTTCTTTGTTGTTCTGTGTTTTTTGTTTTTGTTTTTTTTTAAGGTGGAAAAAATCTAGAATTTTATAAATAATATAAAGGCTGGGTCAATATAAGTGACTGATTTCCAAGTAAAATAAATGGGAAACAGCCTCAATATTTGATGATTTGTTTGATATTAGATGCTAACTGTAAAATTATCTTTTCTGCCTTTCAAAATATGGGGGTAGGTAGTTGTGCTGCCAAATCAAACACGGACAGTTGGAATCCACAAGTTACTTTGCAAGAGAAAAATTAGTAATACCCTCTCTTGCAATTTTGAACCCTCTGAAAATCCACTCAAGAGTCAACCCAAGAGTCACTTCTGACTCAAAATCAGTGAGGCAAAGGCTTTTCCCAAACTCATCTAATTGCTCTAAAAGAGCACGATAGGAGAGAAACTAGGCTTTGAGCTGATTCAGACACATGACCCTACCATGTTCATAGTTTACCAATGCTTTGGGGGTTTTTCTGAGGTATTCTGGGTGAACTTGAACCTGCACTTTTTGGTTGTTCTTCTTGTTGTGTAGCATCATGTCAGAACCAACCCAAAGCTGACCTTTCAGTGGGGTTTTAGAGGTAGTTCAATTGCGCAGGAGATTTCCCATCTCTTGAGGAGCAGGTAGTAGATTTTAACAACTAATGCCTTCAGGATTGCCGTGCAATTTCTTAACACTAGGCTGCTTTTTTGGAGGAGCTCTGGTGGCCTAGTGGCAAGACGCTGCACTGAAATCCTGAAGGCAAATGGTTCATGGCCACCAGCTGCTCTGAAGGGAAAGGGATAGGCAATCTCTTCGTGTTCCCTTAATTGTCTCTGAAAACCTACCCAAGGGACAGCTATGAGTCGATTCTGACTCTAGGGTACACAACAACAACAACAGTCTACTTTTTGGTTATCAACCGCATATGTTACCCATTTGTATATTATGCTGAGGAAAAAAAAATCCAGGTGATGTTATTTCCCTCCAGTCAGCCCGCATCCTGCGGTGGCCTGATCCACGATGGAAGGGAATGTTACTGAATCCTAGATCATCTTCTCTCATACCTCATTATTGAACAGCTTTCTGACAGCCTTTCATAAAAAGTAATTGCAAAGACCATGGCCTGAATTGGATGTACCTCAGTCTCCATACTGACATCATTTCTCTTCAGTATTCTGGAGAGGTCTCTGACAGCACACTTCCCTGATGCAATTCATCTTTTAATATGTGGATCTTGGTATCAACAGTGTTGATTGTGGAGCCAAGCAAACTAAAGCTATTAACAATCTCAATCTCTTTAACATCTTTCATAATACTAACAATCAACCCAGTGGTAAGAATCATTGTTTTATTGATGTTGAGCTTCAATCCATATTGAACGCTGCAGTCCTTGGCCTTCTGCAGCAAGTACTTCAGGTCCTCTTCAGTGTCAGCAAGCAGGGTTGTGTCATCTGAGTAATGAAACTTGTAGATGAGTCTTCCTCCAGTTCTGATGCCACATTTCTCCTCATATAGACCAGCCTTCCGGATAATCTGTTCTGCTCATAGTTTGAAGAGATATGGGAATAGAACACATCCCTGGTGTAAACCCTTCCCAATTTTGAACCATGCAGTGTTAGAAGCCCTTAAACGCCATGAAGTATGAATAATTATTCTCAAAATAATAATGATAACAACAGTGGTGCTAGAATAAACACACCTCTCAATTTAAGAAAGTTCCACTAACCTTTTGTAGATATTTTCAAAGAGTCTTGTCCTTTCAAAGTCCAAGTTGTACTTTATTTTTCTTTTATCTTAATATCATAACAACTTTACATTTTTACCTTTCTCTGCTTCCTTGTACTACCTTAAATTTAAATGTGGGAGGAAGAGTTTTCTGCTCACTTTTAAACTTTTAAAGTTTAATGGTCCAGATAATCCCACTGGTTTATGGAGATTATTGAAACAAGAAAGGTACATGATCAGGAGGGAATAAGAATGATGCCAATATAAACAGACTTCTAAAAGAAAAAAAAAAGTGTCACTCTAAAGTAGTGCAAGTCATTATAATTGTGTATGTGTTTTGTTTCTTGGCATTCTGTAAATGAAATAAATATTTTAAAATAATTTCCTGCTTTGTTGACATGAGAAAGATTTAATTTCTAGAGAATTCCTTTTTATGTTGTCAGCACAATCCCTCCCCAAGAGTTAACTGGAGTATTTCTTGTGTTGACATAAAAATACCTAGCTTTTTTTTTCCAAGCTGATATCACATTTTCAGTCTTGCTGGAGGCAAAGATTTTGAAACTCCTCACATATTTTGGACATGTTGTCTGGGTGGAGGAAAAGCACGTGAGAGGAAGACCTTGGAAGATATGAATTGACAGTACAACTGGGGCAATGAAGGTAGAAATGTTGGAAGCAATGATATTGGCTCCGGATAGGGCAGGATTCAGAGCTGCTGTGCATAGGGTTGCCACAAGTCACAGTCAACTAGATCACACATAATAACAAGCATTTGTGGTGATAGAAAAATAGATTAATCTTTTGCAAAATAATATGTGTTTCCACACATTAATACCTGGTTAAAATCAAATTAACACTTGTTTGTTTTGATTTGCTAATCAAGGAAAAGGGATGATGTAACTGGAAAACTAATATCTTAATTAGTTGAAACATGGACAAAGTGAAAACAAATAATCTCAGGGAGATTGGAACATATATTAGCCATCAAAAATCCATTCTATAATTCTCTATGTAACATGCATTTTAGGAGTTTGTGAAATTATTGCTGAACATCTATATATTAGTGAAAAATATGAGAGATAAACAGGTATCTAGAAGCTTTGATTGTCCTAGAACTGGCTTTGAATATACAATAATGTGTCTTTGCGTCTTCTATACCATCAATTTCTCTTTCTCTGAGCATTAAAAGTTACCAGGAACATATTTAATGGGAAACAGTTTCTTCTTTTTAAAACTATTAGGCATTTTACTAGCAAAATTTTCCTAGCCAAAAGATTAGCATCTGAATGAGAAATCAGCAAGAGACTCACAGTAGAATAATTACAGTTAGCTGTTCCAGCTAGAACTAGCCTAGGGCATTTAAGGTAAGATTCTTATCAGACAAATGTCCTTTTTCAGAGTTGTGTTCTGAAGAGAGAAGTTTGATGAAACTTGCTTAGAAGAAGAATAAGCAGGGTGGTTTTTGGAGGCAGAGACATGAAACTTTGTCTTAGATACTTTGGGTATGTTGTCAGGAGGGACAGTCCTCGGAAAAGACAACATGCTGGGAAATGTGGAGGGTCAGAGAAAGAGGGGGGGAAAACCCTTTCAAATGATAGATTGACACAGTGACTGTAGCAATGAGCTTCAGCGTATCAGAGTTCATGAGGATAGTTTGGGATCAGACAGGGTTCAGCTCTGTTGTTCATGAGGTCACTGTGAGTCTTAGCCAGTTTGATGGCGTATAACAACAACATTTTGTTTTATAGGCAAAGAAGGTGAAACTTTATCTCATGCACTTAGAGTATGGTGTCAGGAGATGTCAGTCCCTGGAAAAATATATCATGCTTGGAAAAATAGAGGATTACGAAAAGAAGACGACCCTGAATGAGATGTATTGATACTAACTGTAACAGTGGATTTGAGTATTGTGAAGGTGACACAGGGTGGGACAAGATTTCAATCTGTTGTTTATAGGGTCACCATGAGGCTGATGACAACATAATGATAGATGGTAAAGAGATTAAGATGGCTAACAGTTTGCTTGGCTACACAATTAACACTCTTGAGACCAGCAGCCAGGAACTGAAAAGACTAATTGCATTGGGAAAGTCTGCTGTTAGAGACCTCTCTGGAGTACTGAAGAGCAATGATATCAGCCTGGAGACTAAGGTGTTCCTGATCCATGGTCTGGGCCATAGTCTTTGCAGTTATTTGCTATGCAGCAGAAAGCTGGACAATGACTAAAGATGGTAGGAGAATTGATATCTTTGAGCTTTGGTGTTGGAGAAGAATATTGTATATATCATGAACTGTGGGGGAACAAACAGGTTCACCCTGGAGAGGGTGAGACCAGGCTGTTCCTTGTAGGCAAGAATTCTAAAGCTCCATAAGACATACTTTGGGCATGTTGCAAGGAGGGACCAGTC